ATAGATATTTTAAAGCTGTGCAAAAGGGCATGGAAACCACACACTACCTGTGTGAAGTAGGATTTCACACTTTGGGGGAACTCAGCAAAGCATATGCAATCTCCTGAGCTCACTTTCCCATGGGAAGGGCTCTGGGAGAGGAGCTTTCCATGTAAGTGTGGGGAGCAGGGGACATCTAGGCACAGTGTGGTGGAAATAGCCTCGTTACAAAGGGACCTCCTCGTGCTCAGCCTCTGCTGTGGCCTAGTCTTTCTTTTTTTAAATCCTCACCCGAGGATTTTCCATTGATTTTTAGAGAGAGCGGAAGGGGAGAGAGAGAAACATCATCGTGAGAGTGGCACATTGATTGGTTGCCTCCTGCACACAGGATCAAGCCTGCAACCGAGGCACGTGCCTTTGACCAGAATGAAACCTGGGACCCTTCAGTCCGCAGGCTGACGCTCTATCCATTAAGCCAAATCGGGTTAGGCTTGTGGCCTATTCCTTTTCAGAAGAATCTGCTGACCTAGTTTTTTGCTAAGCTGGGGAAGGAAATGAACCTTCAGGGCCACCATGAATGGTCTCTTATATGGTCCTCAAGAGAACTGTAGTGCTTAAGACTTTTAGGATCCTTGGTAGAATTCATATTTGGGCAAGTTAAAGCTTGTATAAGTTCAAGCTCTTTTTCTAAGGTTGAGTACTTGAGTTTCTTTTTGAAACAATTTCAATTTGTGTGCTTGTGGCAATAAACATTAAGAAGAAAGCATTGCTCATTCATAGCCTAAAGGTATAATCACTATTATTTGTCAGTTACGAATCAAGGAATCTGGTAGAAACAGCCTTTTTTTTTTAATATATATTTTAATTGATTTTTTACAGAGAGGAAGGGAAAGGGACAGAGAGTTAGAAACATCGATGAGAGAGAAACATTGATCAGCTGCCTCCTGCACACCCCACACTGGGGATGTGCCCGCAACCAAGGTACATGACCTTGACCGGAATCAAACCCAGGACCCTTGAGTCCACAGGCTGACGCTCTATCCACTTAGCCAAACCGGCTAGGGCAAAACAGCCTTTTTATTAACCTAAATATAAATTGAAACAGATTTTAGTAAACTGCTTAAAAATTTCAGAAATTTTGGCAAAAATAGGAAAAATTAATTTTACCTTTATAATTTAACCTTCTTTTCTTTAACGGTCTGTACCTATATATCAAGAAATAAGGAATACAGACATGAAATACAAAAACAGAGTACGAAGTAGAATATCAAATCTTAAGGATGCAAAGAATCCAAATTTAAGGAAAAATGTCCTGTGTGGCAATATCTCTCCTGACTTATTTGCTAGAATGACGGCAGAGGTGAGTATGTCTGTGTATAATGTTTCCATGATGTCAAGTGTAAAGTCTGTTTAATCATAAAGTGCTACATGAATACTACCTGTACAATAAATCATTATTAGCTATTCTGATGAACTTATTTATACAATGTATTAGACAAATACTTAAGGACATTGAATCTCTTGGCATCAGTACTTTATCCCTTCCATAACTGTACCATGATTTTGCCTTAAATTATTGTCTGGAGACAAAGTGTTATAATTTATTATGGATTCGTGTGGAATCGAAAGTTGAATTTCTAATTGCAAACAGACTTTGAAATCACTAAGTTCTTTCTATGATTAAACTCTACAAAATTGGTGACATCTTGTTGACTTTAAATTTCTATAGAGAATGATGGGAAAAATGAAATTCGTAGTTGGCTATTTATAGACATAGCTATTCATAGATAAAAAACTGTAGTGTTTATATCATCTCATTATTAAGCATCCAGAGTGTGAATTTTTTTCTATATAGCTAATAAAAATTGCTATATATTTTAAGTGTATTAAAAAACACTCATTAAAAGTTATTTTAAACTTTCACAAAACAGAGAACATAGTGTAATGAAATCCCATATATCTTTCATCCAGGCTTCAAGTATTTTCAAGAATTTGTGTCCTTTTCATCTATCCTTTTTCTTTCTCTTCTCCTGAATTATTTTCAAGCAACTCTGACATATTCTTTTACCTCTACATACTTGAGAGGTATCTTTAAAAATACGATATTTTTCTTACATAATGTCATTACCACTTCCAACAAAGCTATCGCTAATTCTTTGGTATTACCTAATACCTACTTCATATCCTATTTTTTCTGTATTAGGATCCAAAGTCTGCACATTACCTTTAGTTTATGATTGTGTGTGTGTGTGTGTGTGTGTGTGTGTGTGTGTGTGTGTGTGTGTGTATCTAAATTTCTTCTACCCCTGCCCCTGCTTTTTTCTTCATGACATTTACCTGTTGAAAAAGCCTGTTTGTTTATTCTGTATCCCACAATATTAATTTTCTGTTCTTCCTCATGAAGTTATTTAACTTTTCTGTCACACTTTTTGTTAAACAGGAAGCTACTTCTATAGGCTTGACTATAAGTGGTGCTTTTTACTTCATATTGTTTCACATCAGGAGACACAATTTCTCATTGCTCTGCTCTTAGCATTCTGAGTTTCATCAATGAGTTTGGGTACAAACAGCCTGTTTCCTTCACGGTAAAGGTCTCCTTTGCCTTTTCATCTAATGCATTAGGGGCGCATGCCCCAAAGGGGGCAATTTGATTTTTAAGGGGGGCAATTTGAGAATGAGTTACTAACTGAATTTTTTGCATTTCTTATGGTTCTAGGGCAGTGATGGTGAACCTTTTGAGCTCGGCGTGTCAGCATTTTGTAAAACCCTAACTTAACTCTGGTGCCGTGTCACATATAGAAATTTTTTGATATTTGCAACCATAGTAAAACAAAG